TGATGAAATTCAAAATATAACAATTAAGTATGGAATTTATTCATGGGCACTGGAATTTGAATTTCATCTCATTTTTTATGTGTCATAAAATATTATTTTGATCTTTCCCCCCAACAATTTACAAATGTAAAACTATTCTTGAGCCTTATAAAAACAGGCTGTGGGTAGACTTGACCTCAGGCCATATTTGCCGACCCTTGGACTACATGATCCATAGTATTCCTTTCAGATATAAAAGTCTTTGCCTCTTGTTTTAAATCTATATTCCTACTTCCAAATTATAACTTATTAAACCTCCCACGGGGTTGTGTTTCTTGGGTGTCCTCTCCCAACCCTTCTATGCGCTATAGTCAGGGTCTCCTTTGAAGGTACCAGTTCAGGCTAACTAGCACTTGCAAGCTCAAGTCTCACCCTAGTCACTATCCAATGAATAAAACATGAACTTGACTGGCAGACTTCCAGGCACTCCCCATTCTGACCCACCTTACTAAATGCTCTCATCTCCTATTGCATCTGGGCATGCTTACTGTAATCCTCTGTGAGTGGCCTCTATTATTTTACATTTCCCTAATCCAGTGTTCTCAGGGTGTGTTACATGGAACATTCCTCTCATGAGTTACTAGGGGAAAAAAAGGTGGCTTGCTCAAACACGTTTGGCAAATATAGCATGCCATATCACCCTCTTTGAGAAGCACAATGCATATTCATGATGTTAAAGGCTCTGAGGAATCTTGCAGCAAAAATACGATTAAAAGAAACATTTATTTAACGTTTTTTTGTGATAACACCTATAACCATTCTGTGAAAAAAACTCTGGAGTGCCCTCTCAGTGAATGCCTGTCACCTGCAGGACTGCCAACACTCTCCTATGTCTAAGGCATTCCCTACCATATGACTCTTGGGAAGCAGAGCTCACTTCTTTTTTTTGTCTTTTTTCGTGACCAGTAACGGGATCGCAACCCTCGGTGTCGCGCCCGCACCGCACTCAACCAGTGAGCGGACCAGTCTCTATATGGGATCCGAACCCTCGGCGGGAGCGCCGCCGCACTCTACCGAGTGCGCCACTGGGCCGGCCCAGAGCTAACTTCTTACTGGAGAAACTAACACCACCAGATTCTAGTGTCCCCAGCTCCCTAGAGTGTGGGCATTCATAAGCTGTGCCAATCAGGTGCTCAGAATTGGAGCTAATGTCACAAAGAAGTGGAAACCACAAAGAACCTATGTGGTGGGAGGACGAGGGCTGCAGGAGCTACAGCATCAAGTTTTTGGGGCAGAACTGTTGCCCACCGCTGGTATGATCAGGGTATGCTCGCTATTTTGCTTTTGTGCTATGATTCTGGCTGTGGTCCTCTGACTCACTTTGTGCTTGACTGTTTTCCAAGCTTGGTTTTGCAGCCTTTTCAGCGGTAACATGAGATACCCAACATCCTTTCAATAAATGTCTTTTCTGCTTAACTCAAGAGCTAGTATTTGTTGCCTCCATCTGCAAATCTGATACACTGCCCAAGCCTAGAACAGAAGTTTAAAACTTTTTTTTAGGAAGCTTTACCAAACACCATTCCAAATGGACTAATTGGCTCAGGTTTCTGAGTGTATGCATATCTAAATATTTATGCATCCAATGTGATGTTTTATTTTCTAATTTTTATAAATATTTTGGCCTACTTCATAGAATCATGAGAATTGCAAGTTTAGAAGAAACCCTGAAATTAGTTAAATCCTCACATGAAACATGAATTCCCCAAATCCTTTTAACAACATCCCCCCACTCTGAGTGGTTGGCAATCTGTGTCTGAACAGTTTTATTAATAAGAAAATAGCTTCTCTCTCCTCAAACGCTCATTCAAATCTTCGGACAGCTATAAGGAAAAGATGTGAAACCTTCCTCTGCTTGTCCTAGTTCTAACACTTGTGACTATTCCCAAAAAGCTTTGTTCTCCATATAAATCTTCCAGACATCTGAAGACCAGTATTGTGGACTATCTCTGCACCCTCCCCACCCCCACACTTCCCATCACAAGGCTAAACTGTTCCATCACAGAGGAAGTTTTCATCTCCCTAGTGGCTGTCTTCTGAGTCAGTGCCATTTTCTTCATATTGTTGTTAAATAGACTCTTCACAGAACTTTTTTGCCCCTAAGTTCCTTACCCCTGTAAAGGTGTCATGTTTACCAATTTTGCTCTAAGGATGCTCAGCAACTTTTTCTTAGGTTTCTGAGACAAACCCACTCTAAGACACCATTCTACTCTGGCCACAAAGCACCTTCAGCATAAGACTTTTCATGTACTACAAAGTATAAGAGAGGATGTGTCTGATATTCACTGGCCTCTCTTTCAGATATGGTCAAGAAGTCAATAAACTTGGTGTCCAAAGTACCAATAATCTTAAGGTTTGATCACATTAATCTAGCAAAACATTAACCTGCTCATACATTTAAATAACATATGACCTGGTAACAATTCAATCTGCTGCAGCTTTCAAAAATTCATGTTTTGATTTAAGTGTATAACAGCTTAGTGGAATCAATGCCTTTCAAAGTAATTATGTACAGTGTTTATTACAGATTTAACATGGGAAAAAAAATGACCAAAATATTAGTTTTAATCAACTACATAGTTAAATGGTACTAATGATAAACCTTTAGACCTGTGTTTTTTTTTTTTTGGTTTTTTTTTTAAGATGACCGGTAAGGGGATCTTAACCCTTGGCTTGGTGTTGTCAGCACCACGCTCAGCCAGTGAGCAAAACGACCATCCCTATATAGGATCCGAACCCATGGCCTTGGTGTTATCAGCACCACACTTTCCCAAGNACACTTTCCCGAGTGAGCCACGGGCCGGCCCTAGACCTGTGGTTTTCAAAGCATGGTCACTAGGCCAGTATCATCAGCTTCACTTGGGGACTTTTTAGAAATGCAAACTCCTGAGTTTTACACCCAACCTGCTGAATCAGAATCCCTGGGAGGCGGGCCCAAAGTCTGTGTTTTTTTTTTTTTTTTTTTTTTTTTTTTTTTTTTTTTTTTTTTTC